ATGGATAGTGTGTTGCTTGGTAGTATGGGGTGGGGTGGGCAGAGGCTTGTGACTGGCATGTGAAGTCGGGGCTATCTTGTGGGACTGAACCCTTAACCTGCAGAATCTACACTAACTCCTGGTAGTGAGCCTCAGAACCGAATTGAATTGTCAGACACCCAGCTGGTGTGAAGAATTGGTTGGTAACAGAAAATGTCCTAGAAGCTATAATTAGTGAGCGTGTTCAGTCCTCCGACTTGAAAGAAGGGGAAATTGTTAGGTTTAACATTCGGCTATCTTATGAGTGAACTTTCTCAGGTATCGTCAGTGCTTACCAACAGAGGGCAAAAGCTGCAGAGTCTGCCTAGCTTCGGTTTGGATCAGGGGGATGGCTTCTTTACACCCCCCCATTGCACCTACTGGGCCTCCCTCCCTGGCTGACCATGGTTCCACCTTCACGCTCCTGAGCGTGGGCATGTTCTGAATCATCTTTGTTCCTTATTTCTAAATCCTGCTTTATCTTCCCCACAGCAGTCCCTAGTCCCTGGGTTAGTCATCCTTCATGGTGACAACTACAAGTCCCCTCTGATGTCATCCCCACACCTCCAGTTCCTAACCCCCCAGCCTCTCAAATATGATTCTATCTCTTCCTACAGTAGGTGGCCTCCCCCTAGAATCCTGCACTTCCAGGGATGTAGAGGCCCAAGGTCTGATGGGCCCCGAAGCCAGAAGAAGGGATGATGGTATGTGATACTCATCCACCTCGCATTGCTGGCTCCCGCCAAAAGCCAAGGCCTGGAGGAGACAGGGCTGACTCATAACAGTCACTGTCCTCATAAAGCTCACACTCTACTGGCAGAGTAGTAAATCCTACAATGGAGGCAGCAGAGACCACTGGTGATCTGAAAGGAGGGGAACCCCAGGTGGCAGAGTGTCAAGAAAGCCCTCCTGGAGGAAGTGACACCCAAGCTGAGATGTGAAAAGTGAGCAGGAATTTGAGGGATAAGGATCGGGATGAGTGATGTATGCCTGGCAAAAAGACCAAAATGCTCAAAACAGCCAGACCTGGTGGTGCATGCCTGTAATCCCAGCATTCAGGAGTCTGAGGGAGGAGGATCACTGTGAGTTCGAGGCCAGCCTGGGCTACATAGTGAGTTTAATGCCAGTCTGAACTGCATAGTGAGACCGTTTCAAAAAACCAAAAATAAATAAATAAAATGCTCAAAACAGGGATGTGTGAATTGGTGTGCTATGTGCTTGGACTCATGGGAGCAGGACCCAGACTGAATGGGAATGACCTGGACAGAGGTGTACTCTTGAGGTCAGACAGGGCATTCCTGGACCCACAAGATGGACTCATGCACACAGGCATGAGGTGATGTAAGCTTGGCAGGGCTGGGCAGAGCCCCAGGGGAATCCACTGTTATTGTAAGGATTAAATGAGATAATATATGTCAATCCCTGGCTCAGAGTAAGCCAATGGTAGCTATGGTTACTATTATGGGTGCACTGCTAACCTCACGGAGAGAACTGGAGAGACTCTGGAAGAGACCCTGCAGAGGACCTGTTTAAAAGAATGGTTACCGAGACTTCACCCAGGGAGGACAGAGACTTTGTCCAGTTTCTTCCCTCATCCCCCTGGCACATAGTAGGTATTTCATAAATATTCACGGGTGTGCTGTCTACAGAACTCATTGACAGGTCCGATGGGACAGGGAAGTCTGGAGGTGACCCAAGGTCCCTACTTGGGTGATGCTAATCACCAAAGTGGATCTAGGAAGTTAGGAGCAGGCCAGGGATGATGGAATGGATCTGGGATGTTTGCAGCCTGAGGGCTTTTGGGTGTGGCTTGAAGAAGGCAGCCCTTCCTTGCAACCCTATTGCATGCTTCTGAGACGCAGCCCAGGGCAGTGGCTGGCCAGAGCCCCCTCAGCAGGGTGAGCTTCTGCCATCAGCCACCTCCCTGGCTGCCGTCCTTAGGACCTGCCCAGCTCCTGGGCTATGAAGCTCCAATGGAACTGGCACAGCGCCCCTGGTCTCATCTCTGGCCTCCAGCACTGTGTATGTAGTCAGGACTCAATGAATGCCAGTAGAAGGAAAGAGGGAAGGAAAAACTGCGGCCAGGCACTCAGGTGGGAGGCTGGGATGAGGAGGAGATCTGGGAACAGAAGTGGAACTGGAGGGCCACGTTGGAAGCCCTGGGACAGGGTGGATGGAGTGCTCCTGCACCCTCAGGATACTGGGCTCAGGGCTTAGTGCTAGACTCAAAATGACTCTAGCCATCCGAGCATCTGAGCATTATTCCTACTTTGCTCAGGAGACGACCGAGGCCCAGAGAAGTGATGAGATCTGCCCAAGGTCACCCAGCAAGTGAGCGAAGGAGTCTGGATCTGACCCAGGGCTGTCAGCCCCCAAGCCCGCACGCTGCCCTCTCCACTACTCGCCGCTCCCCCACCCTCCCAGCGTCTCCCCTCCCCTCCCGCGGCCGCCCCGCCCCACCCTTCTCAGCGGCGGCGGAGCCACGTGGTGGGCCAGGAAGCCGCGGCCGCCGAGCGCCCGGGCGGTTGCCCCAGCTGGGCATTGCTGCGCTGCGCCGCGTCGCGCCTGGTGCCTGCGCTGCCCGCCTGAGCTCGCCGCCCGCCGCCGGGCAGGAGTGCGCCTGACGCCGGCCCGAAGACAAAGGAGGCGCGGTGGGCAGAGCCAGCGCGGGCGGGCGGACCATGGACTCGGAGCGCGGGCGGTCAGCCCCAGCCCTGGGGACCCAGCGATCCCGGGCCCGGCCCTAGGCGCCCGCCCCGCCGCCCGGGGCGCCCTCGGGAGGACGCGCGGCGCGTGGAGGCGGCGGCCGCCGAGCAGGAGGGGCGCCACGGCGGGCGGCCCGCGCGGCCCCGGAGCCATGGGCAAGTGCAGCGGGCGCTGCACGCTCGTCGCCTTCTGCTGCCTGCAGCTGGTGAGCTGCGCGCCCGGGCGGCCGGGCGGGGTGGGGCGCGGTGGGGCGCGGTGGGGCGGGTCCCGGGCGCGCGGAGGGTTCGAGGGTGTGCGTGTGTGCGGGGCGAGTGCGGTGGCTGGGGGTGGATTGGAGTCGCGCAGCGGACGGGCGGAGCCTGCTCTGCTGGCCCGGCTGGCTCTTTGTGTGCGCTTCTGCCTCTGCGCCCCGCGCTCCCCCGGCGCCTCGCGCACGGTCCCGCGCGTCCTGTGCCGGTCCGGGCCCGCTCCGCGCCTAGGGCTCCGCGCCTCCGCCGGCACTGTCCGAGTGGGCTCCTGTTGGGCCGCGCTGGGGACCCTGGCTCTCTTGGGCCACGGGGTTGTGTGTGCGAGGCTGGTCTGTCAGTTGAGGTCCCTGCCGCGTGTTTCCCTCCAGAAAGCTCGTTTGAGTGAGTCTCCTTTGCTCGGGTCTTGCCTCTGGTCTCCGCCCCTGTGAGTGTTTTTCACAAAGTCTCTGCTCCTGTGTGTTTCTCTCTGGGTTTCTTGGTGTGTCTCTGGGTCTGACCGGTTCTGGTTCTTGTTTGTCCCTGGGCTGAGATCCTAGATTCCAAGACGGCTCGCCCCTCCTTTGTGCTGCCTCTGCCTCCCTTTGCGCTCCTCATGGGGCAGCCTGGGAATGGAGAGCCACCAACCTGGAGAGGGTCACCAAGAACTGCAGGTCCTGGGCCAGCTTACCTAGCAGATGCTGAACCTCCCTGCCTGCTTTGGTCTGGCAACTGTGGCCACCCACGTTCCAGCAGTTATTAGCTCCACCAGAGCAGCAGGGGTGGGGCCGGCAAACCAGCTCTCTGCCCAGGCTGGCCCCAGTAGCTGGGTATCCTTGGGTGCCCTGGGGAGGCTCAGAGCATCTGGAGATACTGCTTGGCCCTGGTTTAGGAAACTCAGGTGGTTGTGTCAGGGAGGCCAGAGGAGTAAATTTGGGGGCCCAGGGGAGCCAGCCATGCCCTTCAGGTGAGACCCTGGGAGGGGGATTTGGAAGAGGCCAGGGTCTTCTGCAACAACTAGGGTGTTTGAAGTTGTGATTCTCTGGACAGAGATGTGTGGGGACATCGCCTCTCACACACACATTGAGCAGCACTCAATTCTGAGTATGAACTAGGGTAGCCTAAGCCTCACTCGTGTGGATCCATCACCTGGGCCTCCACTCTGCCTTGCATCCGAAACCCCTGCTCCACATCCCCCAGGGCAAAAGACAATGGAGAATGAAGCTTTGAGGGAGGATGTATAGACCTCTTCTTTTATCTTGCTTATCCTCTTGGGGACAGCAGCTCCAAGCATGGCATCCAGAGACCTGTCCTCTTGGGTACTGTTAGAAACAGCCTGGGCTCTGAGGATTTGTAACCCTGCTTCCTGCTGTGGAGCACTGGGCCAGTGGATTCCCCTCTCTGGGCTGCCTCAGTCTGCCTGTTAAATGTTCATTCTTGAGGACTGCAGAAGGGATTGATTACAACCAGGTAGAATGGGAACTCCAGAGAGGCAGAGATTGCCTGTTTTGTTCCCTCTAAATCCCCAGCAGCTGGAACAGTGCCTGGCACTCCATTAAAATTTGTAAAATAAATGAATGAATCTGTTATTTGGCAATTCCTGCCTTATAATACAAATGCTCTTCTTTATCTACTTTGAGGAACATAAAATACCAAGACATGTTGAAACCTTTCAGAGGACTTTATCTGAGTTTGTTTGTTTGTTTGTTTGTTTGTTTTGAGACAGGGTCTCACTATGTAGTCCAGGCTGCCTTCAAACTCACTGTATAGCCCAGGCTGGCCTCAAACTCACAGCAATCCTCCTTCCTCAACCTCCCAAGTGTTGGGATTACAGGCGTGAGCCACCACGCCTCGAAAAACGAAAACATGTATTATATAAACAAATACATAAATAATCGCACAGAACAGAAGACAAAAGTTTTCATCTCCCCATGCCTCGTCCTCTCCCCAAAGGTGAACCTGTTGGCAGTTTGTCCCATACTCATTCTCTGCTGCTGCTAAGAATGGATAGATTTGTGGAGCACTTGCTAGGTCCTGGCTACTCCTGTAAGCACTTTTCCATGAATTAACTCATTTACTCTCCCTGATGGCCCTATGCTGTAACTTGCCCAGAATTCTAGAGGAACTGGGATCCAGACATCTATTTGACCAGCATCCTCTGTTGCCTTCTTACTTACAAAATAAGTAGTTCTGGCCTGGTAAGTCCCTTGGGAGCTCCTTACTGCTCTGTAGAAACTCAAAAGTGGCCAAGGAGGTCCCTCTACCTCTGCTTACCTGGCCTCCCCCTCCTACACCAGCACTAGTTTCGGGTTGGACAGGACTGGATGGGACTCCCCTTCACCACATCCTGGCCACATCCTAGCCATATCCTGGCCGGGTGGCTCGGGCAGCTTGTGAGGGTTCCATGAGATCATCTGGGCAGTATTCTGATCTGGAACTTTGAAAACTGGTCTCTCAGCTCTGTCGCTGTCTGAGCTGATTGCACAGAGGGTCCCTCCAGCTGTCACTACCCGCTGGAGTCCCAGCTGGCTGGCAGCCTCCATAAAATGCTCCTGAGATGCTGACTTCACCAGCCTGAGGGTGGAAGGGAGGCTCAGTTTTCTCATCCAACTGACTGAGGGATAAAAGAGGCCGTTAAAGGTTTTTTAGCTGAAAATTTAGAAGGAAAAACTGTGTCACTGTTCTTTTTCAAGTGGAATTTAAGCGTGACAACCAAGCCGGCCAATTCTGAGCACCCTTCTGTATTGGACTAGGCTTGCTTTGAGTGAGGGAGTAGGGCATGAGGGGTAGAGGGTCAGGAGAGGTAGGAAAGGGCTCTGCCGTTGTGTCCCCAGGCAAGTGTGGAGTAGTAATTCAGGATCTGGAGTTGGACTGGACAGCCTGGCTTCCGCCCTGGCTCTCTCGATTTCTGGCCTCGTGATCCTGGGCAAGTTGCTTACCTTCTCTACCTTCTCTGAATTATAGTTGTGTTATCTGTTAAATAATATCCAGTTTCTAGTTCTTAGGATGGTTGTGAGGATTAAATCCATGTAATTGATTTAACTGGGTGTAGAGGCAGGAGGATCGTTTTGAGTTGAGGCCAGCCTGAACAACATAGCAAGAACTTGTCTCAAAAAATCAAAAAGACAAGTGCAAGGTCCTGAGTGCGATATCCGGTAAAAAAAAAAAAATCAAAAAGAGGAAAAAATAAGCTTTAGGGATTTTTCCCCCAGTACCAGGGATGGAACTCAGGACCCTGCACCTGCAAGGCAGGCACATTACCACTGAGCTAACCCCCCAGCCCATATTATTTTAATGGTTTGTACTGAGAGTTGCTTCCCTGGGATTGTAACCCCAACATATCTAAATGCACCCTGCTCTGTCTTTGGAGGGAAACAACAGTAGTTGGCGCCGAGCTGAGCTGAGAGGCAGGAGACTAAGTTCAAGCCCTGCATTGCCACTGGCATCCTGCAAATTTGGGCAAGTCTCTACCTCACTGTAAGCTCCCGGGAGTCCCATCAGCTCTGCCTGCCAGAGACTCAGGGATGCTGTCTGAGAGGAGAGGAGCAGGGAGGTTTGGTTGCATCTTGATCTGGTTCTTCTCTCTCAGGTCCTTTTCCCTGGTTCTGTTTTTTTTTTTTTTTTTGGTACTGGGGGTCGAACTCGGGTCCTTGCGCTTGTGCAGCAGGCGGCAAAACCCCTAAGCTAAATCCCTGGCCTTCCCTGGTCCTATTTGGTGTATCACCTTGACATTAGAACTCTGTTTATTCACTCCCTAATTTTGTTTTCCTTTTACTGTGCTGGGGATTGAACCCTGGACCTCACGTGTGCAAGGTAAACGCTCTGCCACTGAGCCACATCCCAGCCCTCTCCTTAATTTTTGTTTGCCATCTTCTTCCTCCATCCTTCCAAACCCTGCCCTTCCTTCCTAGTCCATCTCCTTGAAGCATTCTATAGGCCACTCGTTTTCTGGGAAGGGGATGAACCAGGAGACTTTTGCCCTAGGGAATCGTCATCAATTTCTTCATGATCGTCATTGTCATTCCCACTCCAAGAGTCAGGTGCTGAGCACTTAACTCGCATTACCTCATTTAACCAAATGAGTTTACATATGTAAAGGACTTGGCAAAGTGCCTGGTGCGTGTTCAACAATCAATAACTGTTTGTAATCTTACTGTTTTTATCCTTTTTGTTGTAATTTCACACAGTGGAATTGCGGTCTTTATGACCCCCTTTTTCAGATGAGGAGATTGAGGTTCTGAGGGTCATGAGTTTTGCCCAAAGTTGCTGAGCTGGTCAGGGACAGAACCAGGATGCCGCAATCTTCTGCCTGAACAGGGAACCACCCCGTCAGTCCAGTGCCCCTCTGCTGCTCTCTGTGACCAGTGTGTGACCTCAGACAGGGTCAAGCCTCAGTTTCCTCATCTGAAAATGAAAATTGAGTAGGATCATGCATAGTGCCCGGCACTGTGAGCCAGCAAGCGCTCAGGAATCTGTCACTGCTGTAGTTGTTCTTGTCCTCATTCTGTGTGACCTTGGACACAAGCATTCACTCCTGGGCCGGGCTTCTTCCTCTGTAAGAGAGTCTTCCCCACCTTGTGGAGGTGTACAAAGAGCTTCCTTAGTCAAGTGCCGGGCACTTGGTGCTTGGGAAGACACGAGTGAGATTGTCACTCCCTTTCTCTTCTACAAAGCGCTTTGCTTTCTGGAAGGTGGCAGGTGGGTGAGGGGGGAAGTGTGGCTTCCAGCTGAGCTGCGAGTAATGGTGTGAAACATGGTCAACCTGATTGATGTTGTTATTAGCCATAGTGATGGTGAGGAAGGGAAGGAGGTGGCTGGGCAGAGCCTGTGCCCCGCAGCAGCTGCACTGAAGCTCTGGGCTCCTGGGGGGGGGGGCTCTGGCTCTGAGCAGGGGGCTTAAAGTCCTGGGGTTGGCTTCAGAGTCAGGAGCATGAAACTGTCCAGGCCACTGGCCCCTTCCGGGCCTCAGTCCCCTTTGGAC